TACTGGAAAGGGCAGGACAGTCTACTGTCCTATTGCTCTACTAACAATCCCTTTGATAGACTAGACTAAGGCTGCCTTCCCTGACCACTACTCCTAGATAAATGTTGTATTTCCCTAGTAGAATATGATTTTTTTTTCAGTACAGGAGCTATTCCACTTTTTTATTTGTATAAAGTGGGAGGGGGTTGAGCAAGACACCCTTGATCATTTGATCTCGCCTACTTATACCTATCCCTCACTTGGTAAAATCACAGAAAATAAACAGAACAGCCAGGTTAATAGAGACAGTGAGTCTTAAGGTCTTAAAAGGATTTGTGTTAAATTACCCCTTTAACAAGTTGGAAAGAATTCCCCTCTTCATCAAAATTTGATGGAAGTAGAGGGTAGTTAGCCATTGGTTGGCTATTAGTGGCTCTTTAAAAAATAATATATACTTTCTAAGAAGTCTCTTGGGAGAGGACAGTTCTGAGGAATATGGCCCATCGCGGCAGAGAAGACAGCCATCTGTGGAAGAAGAACTCAGCCTTTGAGAGCAATTTGTTCTTTGCTTTGGGGGATGGGGTACAATTTCTTCTCCCTTCCTTCCCCATCAGTCCTGATGTCTTGCAGTGAAAGAACTATCTCAGTAGAAGACAGTGCACCCAGGATGGAGTAGGCATAGTGAGTTGAGGTAGGAGGTAGCTCTGGGGTTTGTGACCTCTGGCAGTCAAGAAGAGCACCAACCCTGGCCGTCAGTAGTTGAAAAGTTCCAGGGTCAGGGAGCCAGGCTGAGCAACCCTGCCCAGCAAAACCATTGGGGATCTAACATTAAAAAAAACATGAAAATGCAAAAGATAGTAGAATGCTGAGGTGCTTGAGTTATGAGTTGCCTTGACCCCATATATGTGTGTGTGAAATGTGTGCCTTTCTGCTGGTATATTCATATGCCTTTTCTTCTCACTGACACTCTGAGTGCTTGAGAGAGAACAGACCCCAGGTTTATGGGGACAGTACTTTGTTACTATTGTTTTTATGATGCCATCCAAAAAATGCCTTTTCTTTGAACTTATTGTGTTTATACTTAAGGGAGGACTTGTGAGCTAGTTTTAGGAATGCTATCTTGTGCAGTACCTTGAACCTGGAAATAATTGCACACACACCCTTGGGAGATTTAACTTGAAACCACAGGGGGCAGGTGCTTTATATTGCCAATAACTGCACATAGCAGGCATTTAGTAAAAACTTGTTAGTTAAGTGTTTATTGCATAACACTCAAAATTTTTGTAATAAAAATGGATAATATAGGTAAAATTCAAAGGGTGAAAAAGGGTCTGGAAGACATAAGGGAAAATGCAAGGAATGAGAAGGGGAAAAAAAAGGGTAAACTACTCATGCATTTGTAGTTTCATAGATAAGAGATCAGTCAGTTCATACCCCTTATTTTGCAGGTAAGGGAACTGAAGAAACTCGGAGGGGTCAAAGAAGCTGCAGAAAATCATCAAGGGAAACAGAACTTTCATTTTCATTGGCCATAAGTGTGTTGGGTCCCTTCTCCTTGAGAGTTGTGCCCCTCAATTAAAGTGGGATGAATGCAGTGAGGACCACCGCTCTAGGGCCAAGAGTCCTGGGCCACCTTCACTTGTGTTTGTGGTCCGAGTTGATGTGGTGGTTGTTTGACTCACCTGGTTCACGTCAACCCTGTCGGTCTCTTAGAATGCCTTACTACTCCAGCTGGACTGCTTTGCCTGCCCCCTTGGTGGTACTTCATGTTGATGGTGATCATTTCTGAGATGAAATTAACTTTCACATTGAAGTTACTTTTTACCAAGAAATAATTGTGATTTTGTAATTGAGACCAAAAAGGATTTATTAGGGACATAAAAAACAGAGCTGTGATAAAATGCAAAAACTTGATAGTTGATTTATTTTTTCCTGCTAATTAAACATATCTTTAAACAGCATGTGAGTGGTTTTGAGACCCAAACAAGTTTGGCAAGTCTGGATATTTTTGTTTCAAAATATGCTCTTTTTTTGGGGTCAAACTTTTTTTTCTTTTAATTTGATGTGTGGTATCTAAACCATATGCCTCTCTTCCTTCAAGACTTCCCACAAAACCAAATGTTTTTACTATACATTTTGTACTTAATTATACCTTTATATTATTTTAAAAATTATTTTATTTATATTAAGGGTATGTATGTGTGTGTGTTGCCCATGTAATGTTTATGTCCATGGGCTTGTCTAAATAGTTAACAGGAGCTTGTAAATAGATAATGTTGGAATCTCCCCTAGCCATTTTCAAGACAGGCTTTGATTCATTCCTAAAGGGAAGCAAGAAATTAGAACCACAAAACTGAAACATCTGCTCTCCTCAGAGAGATGATATGAGTCCAGAATTATATCTATTTTCCCCTTAAATATTGCTAGTGTAGGAAATTAATTTTAAGGTTCAATCTGCCTTTCTCATCACTGTCTCTTAATGGAGGAGTGCTCCATGCTATATACTTGAGTACCTTCCCAACAAATGCTAGTTTTACAAATACCATTACAGTCAGTAGTGAATAGACCTGTTTATCAAGGCAAAAACAAACAGCTATCAGAGCACTTGATATATTAGGATCTGCATGATTATAATATATTAGACAATACATAGAGTGAATGAGCTCTCTCACTGAGAGTGAGATATATCACCTCAACTAAGAATGTCTGTTATCACCCAAGAGGAAATTCCCCAGAGTCTCTAGTGTGACAAGCTGGAAATCAGAGACATGTCAAGTTCTGGTTCCTAGACATGTTGGCTTCTTCCCAAAGTGTTTCTCTCTCCAGGGGCCTCTCCCTGAGCTCTCCCAAGTTCTTGCCAACATCATCTCTCATATACACATGGAGTGTTGAATAATTATTTTTTGAAAAGCAAAGATAGTCATGCAAATATACTAGGTTTGAACCTTGGTTACATATCTGTATCTGTGCATCTATCTATATACAAATAACTATAGACATGTGTCTACATATAATGTAGATACATAGTTAGGGATATATCTCTCCAATAAGATTGTAACTGCTTGAGAGTAGAGAACATGCCAGATAATACTGCATAGGTCTTAGCCCGGTGCTAGTTGATGTTCAATAAAATCTTGAGTTCAAAATGTTACCATTGTTTATTCTGGTTTAGAGGGATCCAGGGGCAGCTATAAGTTATTAGGATCAGGTAGATATAGTAAAGGCAGTTGGGACAGTTGCCACCTCAGCATCACAGACCTTTCCTGACACCTCCTAAGTTGTCTGGGCTTGAAAAATGTCGCACCTGGACCTTTTGTTGGCTATGCTGATCTTTAATTTGATTTGATATGTTATTTTAAAGCTGTTTGGAGAGGAATGTTGGGAGTATTCAGCTGAGTTGCTGCCTCTACTCTCCCATCTTGGCTTTGTCCCAAGTTGGGACAATTAATGAGCAGCAGAATAGATTCTTAGTTATGGTAGGAGCTAAGGAAGATAGACGCTTTAAATATTGAGATAATCAGGGCTGTGCGGGGGAGATGTCATTTTATCTGTTCCTTGAAGAAAACAGGATTCTGAGACATGTAGATAATAGTAATAGCAAAAACTTATGTAGCACTTTGTCTCTGAAGTACTTTACGAATATTTCATTTGATTCTCACAAGCCTATGAAGTAGATGTTATTTATTAAACTCATTTCATGAATGAGGAAACTAAGATTAAGCAATTTAACTAGAATGACACAGATACTAAATGAAGGAAGATTTGGACCCAAGTGTCCTCCATTCCAAACATGGAGGATGGCCTGTGTAAAGGTGTGGAGATGGCAGATGGAATGTCAGGTTTGGAGAGCATATTGTCTGGTTTAGCTGGAATTCAGAGTTCATAAAGTAGCATAAAATAAGGAAAAATATTTATGTAACAGCATGTATATACTCATTTATGTGCATGTTTTCTCTCCCCATAGAATGTAAACTCTTTGAGGACATAAACTGTTTCATTTTTATCTTTTTATCACTGTCATTTGGAACGGTGATTTGGTACTTGTTAGGTGAAGTTTGATTGACAGAGGCATTGCGAAGGAGTTTTCCACTGTCACAGAGGATATCTTAAGCAGAGGCGAATGAAAAGGACGGTCTCTCTAAATAAAAATGCCCTCCAAATTCTCCTGTTTATATATGACGTTGTGCTGATTCTGCCAACTCTGAAACACAGCAAACCCTTCTAAAAGAAATGCAAGACTTGTCTTACTGTCCTCAAAGGGAAAAAAAAACCACATGAAAATGAGTACCGTAAATGAGATGTTCACCAGTGAGGGAGGACTCAGGAGTTACGCTGGCAAGGTGAAGCACTGTATCTCTCCCTCCCCCAATACGCCAGGCTATTCCCTAGAACTCTGAAAAGTGAGTGTTTGAAGTGTAAAAGGGCAATGTGTCCTGTTCTGGGAGCCTTAGACCTGCTTGCATTAGTGTAGGTTTGGTAAGTGTATCAGCCTGAAGACTAGGAATTGGGAAATAGGAGCGATTCCAAGGCTTACCCAGAGGAGTTGGAAATTATGAGTTCTTCATATGTTTAACTAAGTTCTCTTCGAGATTAAATGGATGAGCCAACCACTATTTCTTCCTCTTATCTCTACCTTTAGAACAGAGGTATGGGAAGGCAATATTCCCTAGTGCTAGAACCTGTTTAAAATGCAGTTGGGAAATATTTAACAAAATAAACAAAAATACAGTAAAACATTGATTACATTATATTTTAAAATGAAGTCAATATACCTCTGTTGCTATTTGAGTTTGATACCACTCAAGATGACTTGAGGTAGGACATAATATATGACATTATGCTTTGGGCTATATTGCTGCCAGGACTATGCTATTGAAGAAACATCACTGTATTATATGTTGCCCCGCCTGGTGAAATAATCTTTCCTTTTTTACTTACAAGTATGCAAATATTGGTAGGTGTATTATTTGGATCTGCATTAACAGGTAAGATAATACTGTTTATGTATATCATCTTTGCAGAGGTCAGATCCACAACTTCTTGCTCAGTTCTACTATGCAGATGAAGAGTTAAATCAAGTTGCTGCTGAATTGGACAGCTTGGATGGAAGAAAAGATCCACAGAGATGTACGTTACTAGTCAACCAGTTTCGTTCATGTCAGGTAAGGATAATATGTTATGGGACAAGAACAGCTTTTAAGAGCTCATTTTTATCAATTCATTTCTGATATGACTGGCTAAGTACTTTATTAAATTCATATGTGTTTATTAGTATTTCCTGGCAGCTATGCTGTGTCTCGACATTATAGGCTATAAAAGAAGTATAAAACATAGTCTCCCTACAAGGAACTTGGAGTTTAGACGGGAAAAATACTTATACACGAACTATCTTTTTTTCTTTTCTTTTTTTTTGCAAAAGACTACACATAAAATACTAATTTATGTGTAACAAGATGTAGAGAACCAGGTTATATGTAAGAAGTGCTGATTATATTGTACAGATTATAATTGCAAAAGGAATTACAAAAGAATCACTGTGATTAAACGTAAGTAATCTTATCTCCTGACCTGATTTAATGGAGCATTATATCCCAAGGAGCAAATAAGATAAAGATGAGTGATATAATTGCTAAGTAAAATGATGTGAACATGGTTACCAGTCTCAGTGCTAGCTATCTTTAGGCAATAGATTTAGGATTGACCTGAATGATTGAATTTGAAGTCAAAGGATGTGGGTTCAAATCCTGGCTGTGCCATTTCCTATGTGTGTTCTTGAGAGAGTCACTTAACCTCTATGCATTTCAATTTCTTTATTTGTAAAAATTAGAATGTTATATTACATGAATTCTAGTCTTCTTCCAGCTCTAGATCCACGATCTTTTGCATCACTGAGAATTTGGAAACTGCTTCTGGTATAAAATTCTGGTACATAAGATAGCTAGAGAGAGCTCTTCTAAATACAGACCTAATAGACTGCCAAAATCTTTACCATCCTAGCAGATGTCTCCTTGCACATCAATTCAATTGATTGCCTGCTATATTCACACTACTGTGATAGGCCTGTTTCCTCCATCAGTCCCAACTCGTTGAATTCCTATCCATCCTTGGAGTTAACTTCTAAAATTATATCTAAACAAGCTGCCAAAATTTTTACCAGTCCACAGAACTTTCACTAGAACTTTAATTTATCCCAGTAAATTAAACTTTTTAAAAAAAGAATTTACTGTGTTTTTGACCCTGTGCTAAGTTGGGGCAGTGGGGAGAGCCAACATTTAGATAAGATGTAGGGTCTGCCCTTATAGAGCTTACAGTCTAACGAGGGGACATGACACAGACACAAAGGACTATAAAATAGACTAATAAATTATAGTTACTTTTAGTATAGAGAAGAGCATAAGAGAGCGTAAAGCAAAATGTAGCATTAGGTCTGAGAGGAAGAGGCCATTATGTATTGGGAGGTTCAAGGAAGACTTAGGGGACTAGTTTTGAATATTATGTTTATTCATGTATGTATCATTCTTCCCTTAAATCCTGGCTAGAGTATAACTTCACAAGATCAAGGACCATATTTTATCTAAAGTTTGCAAGTTCCCTAGCGTCTAACATGGGTCTCTACACACAGTCAGTACATAAAAATGCTTAGTGAAATAAATTAAAGTTCTGTGAACGTTTTGTGGACAGGTCAACATTTCGACAGCTTGTTTAGATATAATTTCAGAAGTGAACTCCAAGGATGTCTAGGAATTCGACAGGCAGGGATTGATAGAGAACGGGCCTGTCACAATAATGTCAATATAGTGGGCAATCAATAAAATACCTAACAGCAATGTGACATTGAAAGACCATGCAGCATGGCGGCCCATCAAAATATTCTGATGTTACAGCCATCATCCCTTCACTCTTCACTCGCAGACTTGATCAGGGTATAGCACCCATCACCCTCTGTCGTCCGCCTCCCCGTCCTCATTAATACACCTTCCCACCCTGTTTCACAAATTGCCTTTGTTTGCTGGTGGCATGAGTGTGAGTCCGTATTGTGTCAGTTCTGTTCTGAAATTGGATGTAGTCTCTATTTGGTGTTGTGTTAACTTGGAGTTCATTTTGTTTTGTTTTGTAGGCGATCCTCTGTTTTGTTTCTCTTACAGTCTTAGTTTTGCTGACATTTACCTCTGTATAGCAGATTCTGAGAATTCTTATTTTATTTTTAAAATAAAAGTTTGTTGATATCTTTTAATGTTTTGTAAGTTTTTCTCTGTGCTCCTCCCCTCCTCCTTCCTAGAGAGCAGTCCTATATAACAAATAATATTTTTAAAAGAAGGAAAAAGAGAAAAGGCAATCAACAAAGCTGATCAATACATTGAAAAAAAATCTAAAAATATATGCTGTTCCACACCAGTGAACCCTCTTCCCTCTGCCCCTGAAAAGAAATAGGGGAGCTTTCCCCCTTTATCTCTTCTTCTTTGGGATATGCTTGTTCTTTGTAATTTTGCAAAATTCACTTTTGGTTGATGTATAATAGTTGTTCTTACTATTTTATTTGTTGTAGTAATTTTTATGTTGTTTTCTTGTTCTGCTTATTTCACTTTGTATCAGTTCACATAAGTCTTTTCATGTTTCTCTGTATTCATCGTGTTTGTCCTTCCTGTAGCACAGTGATATTCCATTACATTCATGTACCAACATTTGGCCATTCCTCAATGGACAGATAATTACTTTGTTTGCATGTCTTTGTTACCACACCAGATACAACTGCAAATATTTTGGTGCATATTGGGACATTTTCTTTCTGATAATTCTTTTTAACCTATTTATCTAAAAGTTTGAGGCATGATTTTTTCTCCCTCTGGTTGCAATATGTAGATTCTCTCAATTAAAGTTTTGTTAGTAGTTTTCTTGTATTGTTACATTTTTGTGTTCAGGTTTTTTGATGTATCATGTTCTTTTGGGAGACCTTAAGTTATCTCTTCACATCTTGTCTTCAAGGTCAGTTTAGCATCTTCAGAATTTATATGGGTTTTTTTTTATGTTGTCACTGTTGCTTTTCTTCTGCTTAAGTGTCCTCCCTGCAGTGTTTTTATGTTCTACCTCTTTTAATCTCTTCTACTTCTTAAGAAAAATTCTTTGTCACTGATTCAGTTTTTTTCCTAATCTTCAATTGTGTTTTTAATGTTTTGCATCAGGGACTCTAATTTCTGACTATTCTCTTTATTAATTTTATTTCTTTTGAACTATTTTGGAGTTCCTTTTTGTTGTTCTCTGCTCTCTGGTGAGTCCACAAGATTCTGTATTTCATCAGGCATTTTTGGTTCACTTTCCTTCATATGATAGTAATTGTTAAGAAGGCTCTGTATTCTCTTTGAGGTCTTATTCATTCTTCCTTCTGGCAGTAAGGTCCTCCCTATTGATATATCAGCATGTGGGATGAACTTTTATTGAGGCTTTTCTTCCTGATCTGTTTGGTTTTCTAGCTCTTTTTATATCATTTGTTATTTCTTTTCTGTTCTCATTTTCTTTGCTGGTAAGCAGATTCTCAAGGCTGGATCACACACCTTCCTCAGCCCCATCCCATTGAGGAGTATCAGGTTTGCCAGCCTGGGTTCCAGCTGGGCAGCATCAGTTTCTACTACTTTTAGGGGATGACGGTAGGATAGGAGTATCCTAACAGTCATTGAAGCTTTGAAGGATCCCTGTCCTAGATCTTAAGCCCCAATCAAAAGACCAGAATGTTTTCAGTCAAGATTTATCTTTTTCTCTCCTTTTATTTGCAAGGCTGGGAAGAATCTGGAAATGGAGAAATTGAGGAGTGCTCTGGCAGGGTCACTGCAGCATCTGTGGTTCTTTACCTTAGGGCTAAGCCCCATACTAGCCTGCAAGTTTTCTTATCTGCTGCAGGCACATAGAAACTGGTGGGAGAGAGATGCTAAATGTGCACTCTTAGTTTTAGAGTTTTCTGGTATTTCATAAGGAATTTACCTCCTCAGGATTCTGTTGTATTTTAGATTTAGCTTTAACTGCTCTATATTTAGGACATATTTCTTTTGGAGCTAGAAGTGGAGTTAAAGAAGAAAAAGTTATTAATCTTCTTTATTGCTGGTCATGTGACCTGAACTCTGCCAGAATATCTGTTAGACACTATGATACCTAGGTTTGTGTCATAAATGACCTCTCTGGCTTTCTATTTGGTATGCATAAAGGGCTTCCAAATAGAAGTTATGTGAAACCTAACCTATTACATTGGTTTCCAAGTTACCCAACCAACTTTTTGATGGATCCATCTTATTGCTATTTCAGACTCTATTCCCCAGATCCATGTATGCATGACCCAGGCACAGATATTCTTTTTTAATTTATGTAAATAAAGCTACTTATTCCTTCAAATCCCTTTGCATTCTAGATAGTGTGTAATTATCCACCTTGTATCATTTCCAAACTTGTGTCCCCCAATTTGATATCCATGATGAATGCATTCAGAAGTCCGCCATAGAGAATGGCATCCAATTCAATGTGTACCAACTCTGGGTAGTTGGGACTTTCTCTGGCAGTTGGCATATGATTCTATATGTAGTCGATGTTAACCTAAACTCTAGATAGTGAAATAGACTGAACTAGAATAGAACTAAGGCCCAATTTCTCTCCTTTTACAATTTGCCATCCACCAAATCCATAATTAACCAAATAGTGCCTGTACGGAATTCAAATGAACAAAATTGAGAATATAAAATATAGAAAATTTTATAAATCATGCTGATTTTTGCTGTAAGATTCTTATCTAGAAGCAGAATTTTGTTATCTTTTGACTTGGTTTGTGCAAAGTCATTCTTCATATAGAAAAATGTATTCAAATCCATAAATTTACTAACTTCATGTAGCCCTCTGCCACAATTAATTTAAGGGCTGTGTCTTAACATTCCACTGGCCAACATAAAAAGTAATTCAGATAAAATTTTATAATCAGAATCCTAATGCCATAATTATCAAATTAAAAGGCAAGTGAATTTCCAATTCCATCATTCAGTCATTTCCTTTTCTTCTTTTCTGCCTCAGGCCTGATGGAATTTTATGAAGGCTTTTTTCTCTCAGTAACACTGTCAGCATTTCTCACTCACCCACAGTTAGAAGTTGATTGTGAGCTCTAATCTTGTTATAACTGTTAAAGAAAATG